TGTGTAGACAGCCACTAGATTAACTCTCAGCCTTCTCTTACAGAGTTAGATTTGAGTATTCAAGGACAGACAGTTTAATGACTGCCCCTTCTGATCCTTTGATACAAAGAGGCAACAGCCATGAGGAAAGATGTTAGGATTTTACCATTCCTTGTGTAAATTACCATTCAGTCAAATTGTCACCTTCCAGTTGCAGAGCTTCTGTTTAAAACAGAGTTATGAAAGCACTTTTAGTCAGCTGACAGAAAACAAAACAATTCAGAAAACCTCAAACCTTGATTCTGTATCCTCTTCTCAAAGCAGCCCTTTAAAAATGAAAATACTTTTATTTTTAAGTGATGGTAATTAGCACTGAAAAGCAAATTCTCTCAGAAACCATAGTTATTTACTAATCTGCTCAAAATGAAAAGCAAATGCATCTCAGTCAGCACAGTGCAGCTATTGACAGTGAAAGCTGATAGGTTCCTAGTGACCACCATATATCATATTTGAATCTATTCCTTGTCCACACTAAGTCTATAGTGGACAGCAGTGTAAAGTCCATTTTGCTGCCAGATACTACCCAGTTACCATATTTATTTGCTATTCTAATTACAATGACAGGTTATAGTACCTCAAACACTAGAAGCACTTATTAAATCATCAGAATTAAGTATCTTTGGCTGCTCAGTATCTCTGAGAGCAGGACAGTGTTGACTAGAAATTTCTCAAAGCTAGCTTTTAAAAATTACCCCCCACCCTGGGTTCAAGTCCCATAGCAGTAGCAGTGTTCATACCACTTTTGCTCAAGGAGAAACTCCATCAATAACTAGGATGTACCTCTGAGCAAATATGAAGATCCTCTAAGGGTTTTAGCACTAAAGAGAATGTGAGAGATTCAGTAATGTCTGATCTCTGAGATACAAATGTGACCCCCTGTTATCAGAGTATCTGAGCAGGATATAGTATCTGACCATCTGTCTGCTCTGTCTTATTTTCCTGTCTCATATATTTGGAAAGCACCTAAAGGCGCAGGGATAATTTGTATCTAGTCCACAAATGAGCTGTTAATTCTGTTCCTCCAACTAGAGAGAGAACTACTTATGCAACATGTTATGGTGCAGGTTTTTGTGTCCATATAGCCTCTGCTGTGGGGGGCTAGCCTTCTTGAGATAGTTGCCTTAAGCTTCACAAAAAGAAAGACTGGGGTCACTGAGATGCAAAGGAAAATGGAATTTGTCTCACATCTAAGAGCTTGAAAACATTTCTTCCCAACTCCTGAAATCTCTGCATGGACTCAATCTAGTTCTTGTGTACATACGGCAAGGAGAGACAGGCGTTAGGCATATAGGTCTTAACCTACTGAATACCTTGTAGGTCAGGATTAGGGCATTATAGAATCGTGTCAGGAGCCAGTGCCACAGTATGGGCACTGGGTGTCAGACAACTGGCTATGCTGTGTCATAAGGTTTTTCCTGATCCCTCAGTAGCAGATATTTCCATAGTTTCACCTAGAAATTATAAAGATGTGTATCCCACTTAGCTACACACCAGCACTTTTTACAGTACAATGGCATGCAAAATGTGCTATAATGAGAACTGAATGAAATGGTTTTTGAGGGGAATAGTAAATTAATGGAAAGTGCAGTTTCTGAAGGACCAAAACCATGGGCCAATTCAGGTTTATTTTTAGTAACTAGTTTAATCTGGGGAAAAATGAGAAAAAAATTGAATATGCAAAATGACATTTTTTAAAAATCAAACATTTTATTGTACTTCAATTTCCACTGTATCTCCTGACTGTATCTCCTCCTTTTCATGCTAAGGTTAAAGAAACAGTGGAGTCCTTCCTCCGCTGCCCCAGTGGGCCTCAATGGCTTTAGATGGGACACCCTTACCTTTTAATTTTCATTAATATTTTTTTAAAGGTCCCAAATGGTTAACTTACCCATAAACAAAACATTTAATTTCAGGGTAAACAAAACACATTGCATCTCTCTGAAGTGGGGGCGTTGTTTTGTTTTGGTCCCTGCATCATTATTTGCCCACCTTTGACTATACCACATGGGAATCAGCTCAGCCAGTAATGATGTGATTTTTAAAGTATCAGGATTCTGGCCTAAAATAAGGATTTGCCTGTACAAATAGGCAGACCTTTACTTGATACTTGCATGAGTAAGCACCTGATTTATACAGATATATGTACTAGTTATGAGGAGAAATTAAGCATGCGTACACATGTACTGTGGTACAGCATTCTGAAAACTGCAGCCTTCATTTATTTCAATTGTTTTATAATAAATAACACTTTTTTAAAGAATTCAGATAGAAAATCATTTAAAAGATGTGCTTTGTTTTAATAAAGTCTTTACATTTATGTTCCTGGCTTTATAAGGTGGAAGAACAAATCTAAACAGACAGGTTCTAATGGCACATTGGTACAACCTGAATTTCAGCTACCTACTCAATTTGACTCTAAAGCAAAAGGCTCTTAATACATCCAGGTGTTCTGATGACATATATTAAGAAGCTGGGAGGAGGGGAGTCTGGTTGCTTACTAAAACACACAAAGTTTTTGTTTTCATTTACATCATAAGAGGGCTGCTGAGGTGAAAAATTCAATATCAAATTTCCCATCCCAAAAATGCTTTCTTCTTGTATTGCAGAAGAAAATCAGCTGTTTCATTAGAGTCTAACATTTATCTTTATCTTTCCTAACATTTATCTTTTCTGTTCCTTGGTTGTTGCTCCTTCATACCCTTTTTGTCACATTTCAGAGTCATAGCTGTTAGCAAGGCAATCGCACAAGACCAGGATACTGTAATTATTCCCTTTTGTTACAAAACTTGATGTAGGTCTTCAATGCTCATAACTTTGCACTTCAAAAGAAGTGAGATGGAAAATTTCTCCCATGCCATCTTTTTTTAGATGATATTAAGTTCCTGGGATTTTAAAAATCCAATCTATGTTCTCAGTGTCTGTTCTGCAGTCCTTAAAGAACTCACCAGGCATGGTTCTACAGTTAAGCTCTGGAAATCAAAAGCAAGTGGAACAGGGAATTGTCTTAGAAAAATCTCCTATGACCAAAGCTCAAGTGGTTTGTGATGTCAGAGTCCCTTATTGAACTGACAACATACTCAGCTTTTGTGGTGTTTGATTTACAAACTGCATCACTGTGACTTTTTGTGCCATACTATACATTAAACACCACCTCTGCATAGTCGCCTCCTCTACTTGAGCGCCAGTTTTCAAAGAGGGTTTGGCTCACTCTGTCTAGACATTCTTAATTAAAGTTTTCCATTCAGGCTACACACAAAATTCCTATTAATATCAATGGGAGGTAACCATGTGGAACAAGGGAAAACATCCCTTTAGAGGGAGTGATCTACGACAGGCCGCCTTTGTCACATTATGAGAGAAAATTTTACTGCCATCTTTATTCATACAGATGTCAAATCCAGGCAGATCTTGTCTGTGCAGCTCATCCTGCTGCCTTGACTATGATCCCTCTGTCACCTTCCCGTGACTCCAGCATGCTTCAGACACAGCACTTTGAGAGGAAAAAGGGAGAGAGAGATGTTGCATAAGGGGCACATTCCACTCCCCTTGATGAGTTTTGTACTTCAGTGAATATCTGTCCCATTATGGCTAGGTACCTGACAACTGGTAATTGTTGTGTAGCTGACAGTCTTACACCACCCTTTGTTTGGAATGGTATTCAGAGAGTTTTGTGTGTAATTTAATGGGATATTGTTTTGTTTCTCCCAGGCCCAGATAACAGTGAATGGGAACTCTGGCACTGCTGCCAGTCCAGTGAGTCATTTTCAAAGGCCTTTTTCCCCTTCTTCAGCTTACCCTCCACCAGCTTCACTCAATTCAAACATTGTTATCATGCAGCATGGCAGGATGATGGGTAAGTCTCTCACATGTTTAATTTATATATTATGCAATGTGTTCTGATTCACATGGCAAGAACTGCAAACAATTATACAGCATTCCACCTAAAGAAAGAACGTTTTATCTATTCATGTCCCTTGGGGAAAATACAAGAAACAATAAAGCAGACAGAGTTAGACACAGCAACGTTCTTGAACTGGTTTTACTACTAAGCATTATTACTTTAAGAGTAAAATTCTTACACATATAAAAATGATCTCTTGCAGTCATTCCACTAGCTTTACTGAAGGGCGATAATACTGACTCGACATTTGTGAATTAAAATCAAAATCCCTTTCAGTGTCTCTTATCAGCATTAAGAAACTGGGTGAATTTTATTCGTCTGCTGAACTTCCATCTCATAGGATGAGGACCTAAGTTTTTAAAAAGCATATAGCATGATTGACTGGTAAAATTATGAGTTTTTTAAGGAATTCAATGAGTATATGTCATACTTTATGACTATATATGAATATGATTCCTGCCTCATAGAACTTACAATCAAAATGATTTTGAGAACACTTATAAAATCAAACTTTCAATTTATTATTAAGGATTCTGGCTAAAAGCCTTGGTCCTGAAATCAAACTTTTGAAGAAAGTTTAAAACTTAAAGCTCTGCCTGCTTTTAGTTTATGCGTGCAGTTATTTCTGTGTGCCTTTTTTATCAACATATGCATATTCAAAGAGAACATATGCACAAAAAATTTGAACATGCACATGGGATTTGCTACTGTGCTGTACAGAAGGCCTGAATAAATTACTTTTCTCCTTAAAGTCTATGAATCCTATAAATGCTGCCATCTGTGCACAAGTGTGAAGTTTAGAAATGGAGCATGTGGATATCTGCAAACACAAAAATACCAGGCTTGTTCTAAAAAACTGACCTCCCCAGATTCATAGACATTAGCATGTATTAACCATGTTTCAGAAAGTGCCCTTGGCTGTCTCTTTGGAACACAGTGTTTAAGAGCATTTTCTCTTAATTCTCTGGTGGTGATAAGTTTCTAAGACACATGAAATTATCGTCTGGCCTCTCATCCTTGCACACTCAAACATCCCCCTGATGCCAGCAGTCTGGGGCCTGAAGGAATGTATAATTAGTTCCCCACAATTTTCTAAGTTTAACAGCAGCGTATTTGAAAAAAACCCAAATACTTTGATATTTGACACTCAGAGATACATTTCACCAGCCATGCATAATACTGGATGATTGATAACTTTAAAACTTGAATAAATAAGTAAAAAGACCTCATCTAATTCAAAATCTTTACAGTAAACAAGGAGAAAAAATATCTAGTAGTGTGTGTGTGTGTGTGTGTGTGTGTGTGTGTGTGTGTGTGTGTGTGTGCGCGCGCGCGCACGCATGCATTTTTGTGTATGCGTGTGTGTGTGTAATGTTACAAATTTTCTGGTTAAACATCCAAAATTGTGGCAGCGATCAATAGGTCATTAAAGTAGGGTTAGGCAACCTTTTCCAGCTGCTGGCTGGAACAACCCTCCCCAGGTCAGAAGTGGACAGGCAGGAGGGCTCTAGGACCCTACTGGCACTGCCACTCACCTCCATGGTGGGAAGGGCAAAGCACCCACAGCCAAAGCCTCCCACCACCAACTGCCACTAAAGCCCTACATCTTCAGGACAAATTCAAAGGTTCCATGGGCGAAATCCAGTCTATGGGCCATAGGTTGCTGACCCCAGCATTAGAGGAAATCATAATCTGCACAAAGTGTTTGGAAATCTAGCTTTGCACCTCCAGCCATTCTGCAGCAAAAATGTGGGTAGTGTAGTACCTGCTGTTGCATACCATGCTTAGCTAGTCATAACTGCCCACTAATTGCTTACTGAAATCCGCTGCCTGAATAACTAAAGGATCTTCCTTGTTATACTTCCCCTGTATGCAAGATTACATTCAGACATATGGCTTTAAGGTATAATAATAAGGTCTCTTGTCTTACCTTTGGTTCTTTTTTTTTGAAGTAACGACTTACTATGAATTTTAGCAGTAGATGATGGTAACCATGCTATATAATTTTAATAGTTAAGAGTTGGGGTAGAATTGCAAAATTATTTACAGCACTAAAAGTCAACAACAACCTGCAGTCTTTTACTGTAGTTAGTGCAGGGAGTTCTCTGACATGCTGCTGAAGTGACCAAAGTTATTGATGTGCACTTTATATAGTACTTATGTCAAGCTATTTAATGTATCCCTAAGAATGAAAAGAATCTCGACTTAGAGCATATAAAAAAAATAAACAAATTTCAAGTCCTGATAATGAGGGATCCTGGTTTTCTTTGATCTAAAAAAATCCCCAATTTTTGGTTAAAAAAAGTAACCCCAAATCCACATTTTTCCGTGATTAAAATGAAACACCACTATATATAGAATGTGGATTTGGGGTTACTATTTGTATCTATATATTTGTGGTGTTTCATTTTAAACATGGAAAAATGTGGATTTGGGGTTACTTTTTTTTAACCAAAAATTGGGGATTTTTTTAAATCAAAGAAAACCAGGCTCCCTGCTGATAATGCATTAGCTTTCCAAAGTTAATAACATAACACTTAAAAGTGTTTACCTAGTTAACTTTCTCATACATCACATGCTAATGGACCCAGTACATGTATTAAAAACTTCTGTGAAATTCTTGATGAAATGCATTACTGTGCATCGATATTAGTAATATTCTGTATTATGCAATGCTTTGGGGAGGAAGGGAGTTCAGTTCATCCCAATGCATAGTTAAACATATAGATGGCAAAGCTGCAAGTTTAGTTTAGGAAAATGTGCCTGTTGCCACTATCTTATTTTTGGATCTTCTCATCCTCTCTTTCCTGATATTAACTCTAAATAAGCAGATTTTCTTTTCATATTTTGTCATGTAAAAAATGCCTCCAATCTAATACACTAGTATTTCAGCACAAAATTTAATAAAATAATATGTGCATAATTCCTTAAATACAAGGAAATCCTTGTAATGTATAAGTATTATGAGATGTTGTATTTGGGCACGTTAATATTTGTGCATTAATTTGTGCATGAATGTTTGTGTAAAATTTAGAAAATGTAAAGAATGATATAACTGTTAACTATGATTATTATGTCGTTATACAACATGCTGTCACATTATCTTTACAGAATCCACAGAAACATACTCACAGCATGCTCAGGCTGTTGGCAGCAGCACCACCACCAGTACAATACCAATCTGTAGATCTTCAGAGGAAGAGAAGAAAGTCACAGTCATTAAAGCACCACATTATGCAGGGATTGGCCCGGTAGATGAATCTGGAATCCCAACAGCAATTAGAACGGTAGGAAATGCTGGGTTTTGCTGGGTTTGTGTGTGTGCGTGTGTGCCTTTGTACAAAGAACTGATTGTTGGTAATGGGTTTTTCACATTCTTCTAGTCTTATATAATGTGTGCGTAATCAGAGGACTCATGAATATAATACTGTGTGTTGCAAGAGAAGAGGACCGTTGATGGCAATATAATTGGGCAACCCTGTATTTCTAGTTCCAATTATAAATAATCAGAGCCACAGGTTTCTTTCTTGTTCTCCGTTACTCCCCTTGTCCTTCAGTGGTGTTATATTTTGATTATGTATCATTTTTCTTTTCATTCCAAACCTTTAAAATCATATTTTTATTGTTAGCAAATAAACCTCATGTCTTGAATTTATTTCTTTCCTTATTTTCATGGGCCCTGCATGGAAATGACTAGATTTGTTCAAATAATAATCCAATTGATGGGTAGTCCAAGGAATGCAATACAGAACCATTGTGTCTTTTTATGACACTTAAATGAGCAGCATAGAAATCCTCTCATTGTGATTAGTCCTGTTTTGACAACTTGCCACTAGTCGCTGCTTGAGTGGTCACAGGATGTCAGACTAAAGAGTTTTGTTTTTACTATGTGGAAGCATTCTTTCCACAATGCTGTCAGGGCAGCCCCTTCAGGCTGGTTCAGACGACAGTGCTGTTGTAGATCTGTGAAGGACCTGTTTGCTGGCCTTCCCCGCTGGAAAAGAAGCATTGTGCTACACAGAAGAAATAAGAAGAGTGAGAGCCAGGATGAAGGCAGCAGAGCCCTTGCAGGTGAAATCTTTGTGAGGTGCAAGGATGTAGCAGCTGTTGGATATATTTTGCCTGCCGATATCAACACATGGGGCTGTGTAATTGCCAAGAGCTGTTTCACTGGAATGAAAAATTAGGGGAAAAACAGGATTTGATGGAGAAAACCAATAGGACATTTCAGAATAAGTGGTAAGACTGGGACATTTTCAATAACAATTGGGGAAGAAACTAGTATTTTGTGCTTTCTCTTTTACTCCCACCCCAATTTTGGCAAATACAAATTATTTTTAAAAGCAGAAAACTTTTTAAAAACTTATACCTCTTATTATAACAGTGCTATAGCTTCCCATTCCTCCTAACCACACACATCCTTGTAATATTTATCAGAAGTTATTGTTGTTTTTGCTTTAAGAGTAGCAGATTGATCACGTGGAATAGATATTATTTATATAAGAGAATGACAGAAATTTATCTCCCAGTGTATTTAAGGCATTTTGGCAAGTGGCCAGTGGTATATTTAACTTGCCGATATGATGGTCTTGGTCTCTAAGATTTTCTCTTAAATTTGTATGTATAATTTGGATTTTTTTTCCAGTGTAGGATTACTTTCTTTTCTCTTCTGTGCTTTTGCATTAAGACCTTATGCAGCTTGTATTACTAGTGTAATGTAAATAAGCCTTATGACCAGATGCAAGTTAAAAGTACAGTCTGCTAGGACTATATCATATCAGCAAATAAGAGCATGCGTGAGTGTGTATTACCCCTCAGCCCTTCTCCTCCTTGAAACTTCTAGAACTGATCTGAGTATACTTTTAAGCAAACTGAGGGTGATATGTAGGTCAGAGTACTACATACCCCAGTAATGAGAAGACTGAAGGTGATGACACGGTCAGCAATAGTCAAATGTGCTGCACCATCCCATCCTCAGAAATGTAGCACAGTCCACAACAAAGTGCCACAGCAGCATTTTCAGTGAACAAGAAAAATCAGAATATAGTACTTGCTCTGTTCATGGTCAGTGAGCACCCAAACCTCCAGCTTCTCCCTCAGTCATCAGCAATAGTATAACTAGGAAAGGGCAAGAAGGGCACAAGCCCCAGGCACAGACTTAGAGAGGTCACCAGGATAATCCCCTCCCCCCAGAAGTATTTGTTATGATGCCTCTGGGAGGTTTTGCCATAGGAGGCATAGCTGGATGCCCAGAAGGAAGCACAAACAGGGCACCAAGAGGTCCCTTGGGGAGTCTGTGCTGCTGCCTGTCTCTCAGTTGCAGTAGTCAGAGCCTGCACTGCTACAATATTAACTACAGAAGTGTCAGCTTCTGCCTAAGTAAGGAGAGCCAGGGTAGGTAAGACTCCACTCTAAATCCCCCCCACCAATTTCCCATCCAGTGGTCCACATAATTCCTACCCCACCCCCTGCCCTGGGCACTGAAAGAGCTTGCTACACCTCTGGACTTCAGTATCCCTCTGAAGAAAGTTGGATGTTTCAAGACCGGTTCAGTTCATCTCTGCAGTACAAAATTTCTACTTCATACAAAGGGACAGCTGCCTGCAGAGTGTAGTAAATTTGAGCATGGATGTTGTAGATGATATCCCTAATGTACATTGAGACACTGCCTGGCACAAAGAGGAGTTTTCAGATGAGAATTTGGAAATTAGCAGTGTTTGTTGTACACACATTTTTCCAGACTTTGATCTCTTTCCATTTTCTCTTGACTCCCTCTTTCCTCAAATCCCAGTGTTGCAATAGCCAGGCAATACAGGATGAAGCTTGTCAAAATCCATCCATGTAATTTCTGTCTCATAAGGGGTCACTGCAAAGTATTCCCTACTGAGTCGGAACATGTTGCTTCAACACCATTTTGATCCTTGTCAACATAGGTAGCATAAAACTGAAATGCAGACTCAGAATCAGATTGTTGCATGTTAGAGTATTTTAACATAGCTCAACTCCAATCATTTTGAAGTTCCAGGGCATAAAGGCTGAATATTTAAAGTGAGTAATCAAAATGTGTTTCTGTCAGAAGAGCTTTGTTAAACAGCATCTACGGTTTTAGTATCATTTGAAAATTCTAAGCAAGAAAACAATTAATTAAAATGCAAGGTGACTTCATATTTTTAGCTGTACCATCCAAAATAATTCTTCATGGTTAATTATCAAATTAATCTGTCCTTTCCTTTGTGGGTGAATAAAAATCAAGTCAAACCAGATTTCTGTATTCAAATGATTTAACTTTTTAGTTATACCTGCTTTTTGTTCTGGATTTTACCCATTAATAAATAGGAAACTTTTAAACACAAAGCGGCATTTGATTATGCGTTGCTTACTACATAACTTAGAATGTAGGGCAAAGAGAAAGAAACCTTTATTGAGCATCATAAATGCCTCCTTTTTTGTGTGCTTTTTGTTGGATTGTCATGATCAGGGCTGGATGCAGGCATGGGCAATACAAGTGGCTGCCTAGGGCCCAGACAGAAAGGGGGCCCGAAAATGGTAATTTTTTATTATTATTATCATTATCTCTGGTGAAGGGGGACCTGATACTAAAAGTTCGCCCGGGGCTGCCAGGAGTCTAGGTACGGTGCTGGTTACAATACTGCAAATGATCATGAAGTCTCCCAAGTACTGCTTGTGGATTTTTTTAGGCCTTTTACCATGGTATGGCTGATAATTATGTGAAAGCCTGGCTCATATGTATATGAAGGCCTCTCCATGTTTTATTCTGTGGATTTTGTTTCTATGGACTTTGGATGATTGGGCTGATCAGAACACTGATTTTAGCTAGGAGTTATCTATGTACCTCCATCCTCTAGTAAACAGTGAAGAAATAGTCATAGGGACTTTTGTATTAATTCTCAGATTTTTCTCTATCACCCATACAAATTCAGTTCTACAAAAGAAGCTGCTGGATTTCCTGGTGGGTCTTTGGGCATCTGTGGTGTTGGAGTGATACATCTTACTCTGTCTTAAAATAGGCTGACTTACTCCACCCAGAGATTTACAGGAGTTGAGGTGTAAATAACTGTCAAGAATTAATGTGGAACTAGTCACAATTCCTGAAAGTTGGAAGAGATGGTGTAAAGGGTGGAGGGAGGTAATGCCACACACAGTATCTTTTCCCTAATCATGTCCACTACATATATACTAAATTACATGCAGCCCAGGTCACACAGAGCTAGAATGGGATCAGAAGACACTGCAAGTTAGGCTGCTTTGCTTTCTCTTCAACAGATTTGTGGGCTTTAATCTGAGTGTTCTTTAACCTTCACATCACACAGTGGAGAAAATGAACTGGTCCGAGCTAGACAGTGGTATTTCATGCTATGTATTCTGCCCAGCTCAATAAAAGAACTTGTCAATGTTAACAAACCAGAAGAGTTAAACATAAGGTAATAGCTGTGGCTGGGATAATTGAAAACAAAAAAGTGCCACTTGTAACATAGTTCAGTTCAACAGGTACTAAAGCTATGTACAATATTTATTAACAATTTTGAAAAGATGGAGATCAGTAAAGTGAATATATTTTAAATTCAAAATTATTTAGGTGAGACTAGAAAGGAATATGATGAAATGCAGAGAGTTAAGGTGAAAGGGCAACACAATGCAATAAAATTCAGCGTTGGCAATTAATGACTGATAAAATTTTGCATTTCAAGGCAACACATCAGAAAGAATATGTTGTGTGGTTCTCAATAAATAATCATCATTCAGCTAATGAATTGAGCTGCTTTGTTGCCATCTAAATGAAAACCTCTTCTCAATTGTTGTCAAAATGTTTGATACATAATGAACAGAGTAAAATAACACTCAAAACATCACTTGTGCATTACACTATCACTGATATCTCTGAACCTGAACTCTGTGTTAGTTCTGGTCATCCTATCCCATCTAGTCATGACAAAAAGATATCACAAAAATGAAAAGGGTTCAGAGGTAGGTGATGGAAATACTTAGAAGGATAGAGAAATTTACATCTGAAGAGACAGAAAACCTTGGGACTTCAGTTTACAGAGAGAAGAAAAAAGGGAACTTGCTAGAGGTATACAATTTACTCAGAAGGTAATTGAGTGCTCCTATTTATACCTTCTCATGATTCAAGGAGAAGAGGATATTTAATGAAACTGAAAAGAAACAAATATAAAACTAATAAAAAGGAAATAATGTTGCCTAACGCATAATTAACAGAAGAGAATCATTACCACAAGATGTCGTGGAAGTCCAATACTAATTACTATTAAGAAAATTGGCATCAACATAGATAACAAGAACTCCAACTATTCTTTTAATAATTTTTTAGATAATTTAATGATAACAGCTTGAAGTTAAGAACCTTGCCCTGCGGACTGATAATTGACTCTTGGCACTTCTTGTACTTTCTTATAAAGTATCTGGTACTACCCATTGGTAAAGGCAAGGCAGTATAAAAGATAAAATATTGATCTGGTATGGCAGTCCTGGGTTCCTGAATATTGTCTTTTCACTGAGGTTGGATGCCAAACTTGCTGAAAGGTTACAAGTATTCATAAATGAAAAAATATAAGTAGATCATTTGAATGAGAAGGCATGTGAGGGATCAATCTAGGATTAAATGTGATGGGCCAAATTCATATCTGCCAACACTAAATGGCTGTAAAAATACAGCTGGAATTGCTGGAACATGATATGTCACCACTGATTGTTTGTTTCTTTAGCTAAGTTTTATAAACTCTCTTTTATGTAGACAGTTGACAGACCAAAGGATTGGTATAAGACCATGTTCAAGCAAATCCATATGGTTCACAAACCTGGTAAGTGTACATTTTTCTGTTTGCTACATAAATCTTATTGGAATTAATAAATGCCCTTTTCCCCATTTTTTGGTGGTCTGCTGCCTCATAATACACAGCTTACAGTCACTGAACATGAGATATTGAATAGAACTGAATGGGAATTTCTCTAAGCTAAACCAGTACAAGAAATGATATAGCCAAAGCATTCTCCTGGTTAAGGCTTTTTTCATTGATATATTTTTAGTACTGAAAAAGAAAGCAAAGGAGAAGAAATAAATTAGAAATACATTATGATCTTTCACAATGTAAGAGTTCAATAGGTGGTTAGTGTAGCAAAGAACTTTGCCAATACCACTTTTCTGTCTGACTAACCAGGGTGGCTATCACTGTCACCTACCCTGCCAACTTTCTGTTGTAGAATTCATGTGTTCAGTGACAAAGACAAGATGCTGCTTCTTTCAGCCCTACTTATCCATTTAAATAAAACTCCCTTTGATACTGTTCTCCAAGGAGCCTTCATAATATTATTAGTATCCACATTATTAATAACATTTTCTCTTGTCTTCCTATTACCCAAGCATGCCAAGATACCCTGTAAACAGTAATTATGCCTCATTTCCTCTCAGTGATGGTAATAGAGCAGTGACATTATGCCAAATGTTATTGACAGGTAAATGGAGGTTTACAGATGAGTTGCCTCTTGATCACACACGAAGTCAGTGGAAGAATCAGAAATGTAAAACAGGCCAAATACTTTCTCCTCTTCTCAAGCTGCAGCCATTGTGCAACACTAAATATAAGAGGATTTTTTTTACAATTGGAATGGTGTCCTCTAGTAAGAGAAAACCTATCAAGAAAAGAAGAGGGAATGGTTTCTGGAAAGAATAGTAGGAATGATTATAACTTGAAATGTTAAGTGAACCAATAATTATGTAAGCTGGGTGATATGGCAACAAGATGCCATTCAGAATAGGGTGACAGAATAACCTGTTTTAAGTGTAAAGAGGAAACATGGCCTCCAGAGACCATATAAATGACCAGGCTGGAGCTGATCACCTACTAATCTTCTGTTTGTATTTGCAAAGAAAGCTTCCTTGCTGTGATGTACTGACAGGTATTGCTCTACTGTAACATTTATATTTCTTTTTGTAGATGATGACACAGACATATATCACACTCCATATGCATATAATACTGGTAGGAGTTATTCCCTCACTTCAAATATGCCGTTTTGGGATAGTGGTACTTAAAACTGTTCAGACCTGCTCCTGTTAAGTTTATATATGCATAATTCTACATAATTCTTCTATTTGCTGTTTTCCCTTGTCCTTGTGCTCAAATATGACAAGGCCTCATTTTGGTTTCTTTCTTACAACAGAAGTAATTGGAAAATTATTGCAGACATGGAGAACAGAGAGGAAGTATTATAAAACTGTAGTCGTTGACTAAATTTAATTTATTCTCACTAATGACCCTGAATACTTTGAACCTGGAATGTCACACTAAGTAATAAAGTACAGTTTGAAAATATAAACTGTGATTATGTACACACATAAAAATAAAGATATGGTGACTGTGCCATATTTTTTAAACTGTGCATCAAGAACACTTAGTAAAATGATGGAGAGGCAAGGATTGTTGTGGGTGATATCTTATATTGGACCTACTGCATGGCTGGGATAGACTTAGATAAGCTTTTCAATGCACTGCATCTTTCTTCAGGTTGAACGCATTGGAATAAAAAACAATCGTGTAACTAGGGTGCAAAGACCAAGGCAGACACCTCAAACACTGACTTCGGGCAGATGGAGCAGAAAAATCAGCTGCTGCCACAGCCGCTCAATCACTCCAGCACCACAGTGGCAACCAGAAGTTGCTGCTGCTCCCCCATGTCCCATTGCCCTGGGTGCCTGGCTGCTTTGTTACATCTCTGTTTGAAAGCTTGTGTAAGTCCAATAAAAGATATCACCCACAAAAATCCTTGCTCCTTGACATATTTCCTGGACCATCATGGCTACAACATCACTCCAATTCTAGTGTAAATGATACTATTTTGTGATCCTGTTACTTTTCTTACTGGAAAATTTCATTCACTTAAAAGATATATACATTTCAAATATTTAAGACAATAAGAATCATGTAGTAGAAACTTTTTACTGGCAAGAAGAAAACGTAATAGTTTGGATAGAGAAAAGTAGTTAGCCATGTTAGTCTGAAGTCAGAAAGAAGGCAGGGCAGGCTGCCTAATAGTGTGGATGAAGCAGATACACAAAACACTTTACAGTATGTAAAACACTACATTAATGTTTAAAGTTTAAGGATTTAAGATTCTTTAATTTCTGTTTTTATCAATATTGCTTTCATTACTTCTGTTTGATATATGATCAAGAATGTGTATTCAAGTCCATAATTGAAATGCACTCTTAAAAGCTTTATTCAAGAAATTTGTTTTGGATAATTTTCCAAACTAAAGCATTCATTTCAAAGAATGAAAAAAGTACATCTATGTTACTTTTCTTTTTCTCGGTTTAATAACAACAAGGAACAGGACAATTCTTAGGGATTAATAGCAGGTTGTAGCTAATGGCTGGGGGGATTGCACATAGCTATTATCTGTCCCAAACTGGTCATTAATTCCTGTGCAATGTCATATAGCTTTATATGTGGATGTATGTATAAAATGCATGTGTGTATGCATGGGCATATATATAATAATCATAAAAAGATGCACAGGACATCACAGTATGTTTATAAAGTGCATTTATAATTTTTTGTGTTAAATGAGTGAGTGTTTTTTGTGAGTACAGTGCATCTTATTTCATTAAAATGCAACCTTACATTTTTATTATTTGTTTTTTAACTTAGGCAGTTACAGCCCATCCCTTACCGCACAAGCACACCCAGCTGCAAAGACACAGACATACAGACCATTGTCCAAAAGCACTTCTGACAATGGTACTGATATCTTTAAGGTTTCATCTACTATACCTCCTCCACAAATACCACCTCCAGTGCCACCACATCGTCCACGAGACAGGTCAACACCAGAAAAGTAAGTAGATTTATTTCTTTTTTTGAAAAAAAGTTCATAATCAGTACAATATTGCAATAGATAATATCAGAGGTATTATTAAGAGCTGGAAAAGCAGGAAGATTACAGGTCTTGTTTCATAGGACATTGAGATAATGAGTAGCATAACTACTTGAGTAAAGTGTGGACACCATGTTTCTTTAGTATCTGTGGATATTAGTTTTTCACTGAGCAAGCTTGACTATTGACTAGTATGATGTGGTTGGTAAGGTAAAAATCTCGACTGATTATTGCAATGAAGCTGCTTCCTAAAGGCTTAGAAACTCAAATCCAGTTTCACCTTTAGACAGGTAAGTAGCACTACCACAGTGAACTTGAGCCATATAAACTACCATGTGACCATATGAAAGGTCATGCCTCTCTGAATCAGTTAGTCTTTTGCCACTGAAAAATGGCGGCAGGGTGCTTTAAACTAAAGAAATGCCCCACTGCCATTTTTCAGCACGGGGACGCTGATACACGTGATGTTCCGGGCACTTTTAATTAGCATGGTTCTCAGAGCTGCACTAATGAAAGCCCCCCTC